TCCCGTTCCCGCTCCCCCGCAACGGGAGCATCCCGGCCAGGGGCTCCCGGGACGCGGCACGGATCGCGCCTCTCCAACGCGCACCGCAAGGGCCACATATATATACATATATATATGTATATATATGTGTGTACATATATATATATATGTTTCCCTATAGTGGCCAAAACGGCACGAGCCGAGCTCTGCAGCTCAGGCGTGGAAACACATCAAGCAACATCTAAGCATAGTTCACCAAACTTGCAGTTTGCTATTTGCCTTATATTTGCCTTTTATTACCCATCCAATACAACGTTACGTATCTGCCAGCTGCTGCCGAGGCGGAATTTGCCCCGGCTTTTCCTCTGTCTGCGTGCCAGGCTGTCCCAGGGGTCATTCCTACGTACGGGCCGCCCCACACGACCGCAACCRCCCTGATGCATATTAAAGCATCAAAGCTCCACTTCATAGAACTCAGAAAGCATTTTGTGATCAAAAAGTTCGTGGAAAACTGAAAAAAAAATGCTGCCAATTTTCCCTTTGCTAAAAGAATTTCCCAGAATTTCATGCAAAAGAAAATATGCTGGTAATAGTCTTATAGCAGCTGTATTGCAGCTTCTCATTCGAATGGAGCCACAATTGTGAAATGTTTTAAGAACAACAAATTTACTTCTTTCCCGAGTAGATCGGGAGTTGGAACCTGCTGGATTCTTGTGAAGGAAAYGGTTGCTCTTATATGGGACGGGGTTTCTAGCTGCACATCTTCGTATTGATAYGATTGAAGGACACACGGACTTTAAAAGGGAATCGGCAGGGAAGGAGCTGCCTTGCCTGCATTACAGGCCGCAGAGCTCGCCAACAACGTCTTCACTACGCTCACGACTTTCAGCCATCACATGCACTGTATGAAGACACTGTGTCTAACAATTACAGCCCAGTATGAGCTCTATTAATATTTATCTTTTTTTATGCCTGAATTTTTCAGGATTTACCTTACAGTTGAGTACTTGGAGTGGGGCCTGTGTGAGGGGAGATGCTCCTGCAAGATTTAAGCCTCTTATTCTCTCGGAAATATCTATTTGACTGGAGGTCTCCCCAAACTGATCCAGTGACTGATAGCATTCCCTTGGAGCTGTGACTCTGAAAACTTTGCTGGTCTTCAGCTATACGTCTGTTTATGAGCAATGGCTGTGGTGCTAGTCTCATAACGGGGACGCTAGTCTCAGCGCAGAGCCCCTACAGCCCCGCGTGCGGTAACCGAACCCCTCTCCCTGTAACTAGCGCTGCACGGCGGGATTTGCAGGCAGGAAATTAKGTAGGCACCTTTCTGAATGTCGGTGTGTCTCAGAGATACGCCAAGAGCTCTCCTSTAGGTGTGACTTACGTTCCTTGATCCTCCATACACCACCCTGTGCTGTAGTAAAATGCGCGCGGCTCTGCGTTCAGCTTCCCTGCCGGAAAAGGAAACCACCAGCGCAGCTCATGCGAGGGTATTGCCACTTGATTTGATCTCTGCATATGCTGCATGCCATATCTCAGTCAAAATGTCGATCAGTAAAACTGCTTTGTGCTCATCATTTTGCCATACCACACTTTTTTCTGCCCTCTGATATTTTTATCAGAATTTCATTTCCTTCTAGACTTCTAGCAAGGATTTGGGATAGCATTGGACCACGGGTAGATAATTTCTGGCAAAACCATTAAAGACAATCTAGCAGAAYGAGGATATCTCACTAACTTATTTCTCAGGCCCCATCAGTTTACTTGTTTATTCTATTGAACATGACTACTTTCCAAACCATGCTATTTTATCATAATTCCTAAGGGATTAAGTCAAATAGAACACAGAACTTTAGCATCACTACTCACTAAAACAGTATCAAACCCAATTTTTAATGTTTTTTCTTTGTTTTGTTCCTTTAGATAAAACCTATTAAACAGATTTTCAGCAAACCAATTTGGCATTCATAGTTGTAATTCTATGCTAGCACCCCACACAAGCCTTCTGTGGTAGATACCAGACTAATCAGTTTGTCCTTCGTAGACTGGGTACATACACAGTGTTAATTATGGCATTTCACCTGACATGTTCGAAGAGATGTTAAAAATGAGCATTGCATATCCTGGGTGCCAAGAATTATTCTCACTTTTGGGTTTCTTTTTTAAAAAARCAAGCACAAGACCCCAAATAGCTGTTCTGCTGATTTTACTGTACCCAGGTGTCGAAGGAAAAGAGGCAAACTATGTGTTGAATCCACCAAGATTGCCACCAAGAACTGAGGCTACCTGCCCAACTGTTTAGCAATCATATTTTTCTTTCCTGACAGAWTTAGGCTTAAGCCAAAATTCAATGCATGCACTTCTATGTGCTTAGATCAGTCATTACTTCAAGCCATGCTTAGAGAATTAGKGCTATGGAGGAATTCAATGGGCCTAGTTTCATTCTAAATAAAAATAAYATGTGTTTTTAAACAAGCCCTAAATACCCGGGTCAGGATTCGGTTCATGCATGGAGGCGTCTGCATTGGGTGAGAGCCGCCCCCTTGCCGAAATACCTGCGGTTTTACCTGTCTGTGCGGGCAGGGAACCATCTGGGGCAGCAAGGGCTGGATTTCCAGCTAGTGTCGCTCACTCCAGCTCTGTGTGTTTTGCAAAGCAGTGACTTTTTGCCGCAGCCAAGGGCAGAGCTCGCGGTTCTTGACTTGTACTGCAAAGGTTTGGTTTTGTTTCATTTCTTCCTTTGTGTTTGAAGCAAACCAATGTTTTCCTTATCAGTGTCTGTGTGTGAGCTTTCCCAGGTTTTGGCAGAGGGCCAGTTTTGCCGTTACTCACGTAAAACAACATTTGATAATTATTATTTTGTTTGTCGCTGAAGGCTGTGCTCCGTGTCCTCATGCCAGCCCAAGCCAGCCTGCTTTCTTGGCCAGGAAAGCCCCTCGTGGGCGATGTTTCTGCCTGCTGGTAGGGCTTTGTTTGTTGAAGGTGACAATATTGAAGGTGTGACAATCAAATTGCCTCAGAATTGGGAACATCCCCCAAAGAGCCCCAAGACCAGACTTTGCGCTGTTTTATTACAGGCACATTTTGGATTCTGCTCCCCCGCACAGTGCTGTCTCTGGAGCTGAACTAGCTCTGGTAGTCAGCAATTCTTGATCCCATAATAGGATGGTAAATTTCCCACTTTGCTTGATGGCAAAGCTGCCTTTTACTCCATGCATTTGTGAAATACATAGTTGCAAAGCTTAAGCATTTCCTACTTCTTGTTACTCGCTTCTTGATCAGTTTCTTGACCTCCTCGGGTATTTTCCTATCTCTTTATTAGCAAATGAAGGGRCTTGCTGGTCTTACTCTGCTGCCTCATCTGAGTCACTTCTTTCTTGGAACACCCGTTTTAATCAGCGAATAATTAAGATTCTCTTCAGCACTTTTTCCTCTGTTGGTCCATTTTACTAACTGCATTCAAGTTTAAAATAGCAGTTTGTGTTTTACTTAGGGGCAGGTTCAATTGAAGGTACCTTTGTTCCGTTGCTTTCTGTTTTGATATTAATGAGTGAAATATCAATATGATACTTTTCTCAGGAAGAGATTTATTAATCATTGAASGAGCATGACGTTGATTCCAAGCAGTGTGAAATGAACCCAACTTTTTYATTATTACTATTATTACTATTATTATTATTTTACAAGAACACAGGAGGAGTCAAAGGTCTGAGTACAGGCGGTACAGCGACAGGTGAGTTTGAATCAATACAAGTCTATAGCCAGGAGCAAATAAGGCAGCAATGTAACCTGAGATAATTCAAGCCTCCTGGCAACAGGGCTTCTTTTCCTACGTTTCCTTCCATAGGGGCTTTCAGAAGTCTCTCCTGGCTCACTGGAAGCAGGAGTGTGGTGCCTGTCAGGAAAAACCTTGGATATTTCAAGGTGGAGCCCTGCTGCTCACAGCCCATCTCCCCTTCTGGTGACACGCAGGTTTTACTTGCTCTGACATTTATGCTTTTGGTCAGGGCTAATTAGCACCGTGTTGATGAGGATTGTGCCCTCCTGGCTAAGGGTGGTGAAATCAGTTCTTCTGTGCCTCATTCAATTCCCAGTCACACTAATGGCAGCTGAATTGGTCTTTTGATATTTAGAGCTTAATAGACTAGCTGTG